TGGTGACAGTTCTCAACAAGAGGCGACCGCGACCTTAGAAGTCCGCGTCTTGGTCACGAGCCCAGCCCCAGTCATCGATAGCCATGTTGATATCAACGCTGAAACTTCTGATCCAGTTCTACCTAGCGAGCAGGTAAACAGTGTGTGTCTATGATGACACCCTATTGGTCCCCTCCTTTGATTCCAGGTCTCCTGGCATGGACGTTCTCCCGTACAGAACGGCTGCGTGCACGATGTCAACTTGAATGCGAATCAAGATGGCTTTGATCTATACGTTGACCCGAGAGCTCACTTCTGCGTATCTGAGACGAGATGGTGCTCTCCTGGGTGCTCCCCTATAAGTGAGTATATGACTAACCCAAGTCGTAGCGTAAGTTAGCCAATGTAAGGTATATAAAGAGCAATGGGAGACGGGGTTGGATTGAGAGGCGTCGCGTCTCCGCGTCACGTCTCACGTCACGTCACGTCTCACGTCACGGGCGTGCGCTACCGTATTCGACGTGCGCGTGTGGATCGCGAGTAGCGACATGCCTCCCCCCCAAAAAAATCAATAGTTGGTATTGGTACTGTTCGCATCATCGAATCGAAAGGTCATATTAGACGGATCGATAAAATCCGTCGCGGTACCATCTTCCCAACGGATGCGAATGAGCGAGTCGATGTCGTCCACTATGACTCCTTTCATTGGACCTTGACCGTTGTTTACGTCGTCGACTATAATAGGCATTCCTATCCTCGTAGGGAAGCGACAATTAAGGCAATCGGAGTGGTCCTCACCCGTGAAGCTTGAATGGCGAAGGGGGACGACGTTGTGAGGGCTCTCGACCCTGACCTGTCCATTAGGATACACTACCTGAATACCATGCGTAGAATTGCGAGTAGATGGACGTAGTAGAATGACGTGTGCTAGTCGGAAGGAATCGCCGAGCTTCTGCTTAGGATGATACACCAGGACCGGGTTACCGTAGACATACCAATGTTGATCTTCGGGCTTACTGACCTTCTTGAATAGGTACGATGAGGCACTCTTAGCTTTTAGCTCTTGCCAGACCGCAGACATATAAGCTCGCCTGAATGAGCGGCACGTCGTCACGACTGGTTGTTGCGTTGGAGTGGGCGTAGAAGTCAGTGATGGGCTACTGCATAAACCTCTATTCCTTGTGAACCCAAACGCTAGGGCGTCTGGAGTGATCGGGCTTGGCAGTAGGGCCGATCCAGTGGTGCCCAGGGGGCGCGTGTTTATACAAAAACAGGCCTGATCGACGAACTCCTGTGTTTGCTCCAGGGTGAGGTTCTTCATTTTCTGGCCTCTGAGCAGCACTCGAAGCTTGTTCAGACCGAGACCATGGGTGCGTTCGAACAATGCGCCCTCCCATGGCGCTCTTGGCGAAAGATAGAAGGCTTCTGCTCCGAGGCGAGTTCGTAATTGGCGGCGGAAGTCTGCGGCCTTGAAGTAGGAAGCGCAATCAAATAATAGCCGCGCCAGTCCTCCACGAAGTAGTTGAACTCTCGAGAGCGCTTTGAGGGCTGACTTACCGTCTTCCTTCTCGCATACCACCCATGTAGTATGTTTACTATATAGGCAGGTCACTGTGATGACCTTCCAGGACTTGGCCGGGGAGGAAGAGGCAGAGTTCATTGGGCCGAGGGTCAGGAAATCCACGCCACAGGTATGATACGGTGGTAGGCCTGAGAGTTCTGCCGTGGTCCACTTGCTAGTTTCTGTCGGTCCACGGGCCCACTGGTGGGTTGCTCGGGCGGCATTGCAGGTCACGCAGTCGGCCACGAGGTCTCGGCAGGCACGGAGCAATCCCGGAATATAGAAGTCATCGCACTCTGCGGCAGTACCGACGCTGCCGCTATGTACACATCTTCGATGCGCGTCTTTGATGACTAGTGACCTGAATCTTGGAGTATGTCGGGGTAGATATAATCGAGAGTAGCATTGACCGTGGATGGTGCCGACCGTAAAGTAGACAACTCCGTCGTTGATAACGTAAGGGCCTTTGGATGGCCTATCACCAGCCAAGTAGGCGTTCATCTTTGGGTCTCGAAGTTGCAGGGATCTGAAGGTCGAACGAATGTCGTCGTCATCCCACCTGTAGTGCAGATCTTCTCGAAGTCTAATAGGGACTTGCGTGTGGTCAATGTTAGCTTTGAGTGCAACGAGTATGGCTCTAAGGAGGCGGACTCTTCTGTATACGTCACTCGCATAGAAGGCGTCAGTCGCTAGGTGTTCTGCTAGACTTAGTGGAGGTGAGACGCTAGGGACTTCTCGTATGCGCAGAATGCTCTCGATAGATGAAGCTGCTATAAATAGAGAGCCTCCGGCTTCAACGCTGTCCACGATGTAGCGGGCTGCTCGGGTTTGATCACATTGTCGATGTCTGGAACCGTATTCGGTCAGCTCACTGAGTAGCTCGACGGTGTCTTGGTCTTCTTGTAGATTTGGGTCTTCTTGATCAACATCAGCGGTTGTAGAGGATGTCTTGGGCGACGGGCGTGAGAGGATTTCACCAAGAGTGGAGCTACCACACGCTCGATCATGCAGCCGGGAGAGGTAGTCGCTCCTCGCGTTCTCGCGACCTGGTAGATGACTGAGCGAGAAGTGAGTATTTGGCTGCGACCGGGCAAATGCGATCTCCTCGGAAACGGCGGTGACCATTCTCTCTATAGTACGCCTTTCCAGCGCTCGCTTAATCGAACGTGTAGAGCCATTGGCCCATAGCACTGAGGGCTTATTATCGCACTCGACGCAGATTTTCCACTTCGACTGATCTCCTGGGGACACGTGCTTACTGCGGGCGGTGAGGAGATCGGTGAGGGCGCGTAGACCACGGAGTAGACTGAGTAGTTCACGGCAATTCGAGTGCCATCGTCTCTGTGCCGGTCGGAACCTCCAGCAGTCTTCCCAGATGATGGAGGACTCACCTGTTGCGGACGAACGCGAGATGCTGAATGCTCCTCCGCTAAGGCTGGCATCAGATGTGAGCTTGAGAGTAATGTCATGTGTCGGGGAGTTCCTGACTAGAGAAGGGTGCTCACATGGCCCGGCGTCGAGGAGGGTCGACATCCACTTCATCACCACTACGAAGGCCTTCTGCTGTTCGGTAGACAGCAGGGATAGATCGCAATAGGAGGACCAAGACGTTTGGACGTAGGCCGAGCCGATGATCGAACGCAGTGAATCGGCACATGCACGTTCTTCCGGATGCATTTTGGCGTTGTCGTAGCCTACGTCACCACAGAGTTGGAAATATTGTCGTTTTGTCAGATTGAGAGATAACCAGTCTCCGGTTGCCACCGTGGAGATGAGTGCCTTGGCGGACTTGATTCTGCCGCTCCGGGCGCAGTCCATGATGAGTTGGCCGTCGTCGCTGAAGTGGAACTGGTACCCCAGGAGAGATGCGGAGTCAGCAAGGGGGACTTGGATGTGGGATCTTCGAGTTTCTTCAGCGAAGGCCTCCCTCAAATGGTGGGCTACCAAGCACTTGAACTTGCGTGGCTGGACTCGAAAGCTGAAGGGGAGTAGAAGGCCCAGCAATAAACGTGCCGCGGTGAAGACGGTGGCGAGATCGGACTGAATCGTGATGTCGTCGACAAACAGTGCGATGAGACACGCGATGAGGTCTGGACAGACGCGAACTCGGTCCACTAGGTTGCCTAGCGTAGTAGAAAGTGCTTCTGGGCCGAAGCATACCCCGAAGACTGACCGTGTGCTGATGAAATTGGAATGGGAGGTAGCCAACTGCAAAACGCAGTTACATAACCGCACCGCGTAGAACGCGGACATGATGTCCATCAGAAGTAGTGAGGGGGAGCTGCGAATTCTAAGTAGGCATATGATCTCCCAGACGCACGGATTGGCAGAGCTCACGGCAGGCCAGCTGAGGTTTGTATGGCGGAAGTCTACCACTAGGCGGTCTCGGCGACCGGTTTTCTCCTCGGGGGCTAGGAATACCGTGGCAGGGGAGGCGACCGTCGCTGATGGGGACTGGGAGCTATTGGTGTCCATAGGTGAGCGTCGACGTAGGAGAGGCAGAGCTCTTGATATGCCTTTTTCTGTCGCAGTGTGAGCTTCTTGTAAGCGGGACGTGCATATTGTGGACCTCGTTGTGCGTTGGGCGATATAGGGGGTGGTAGAATCTCGGCCGCTAGGTACTGATGGGCGTCGTCGATGACTTCCACCGGATATAGACGTCGGAACCTATAGTAGAACCCGGGCGCTCTCGGTACGGGCTTCCAGTGTAGGTCTATGAGATCATTAAGAGCCCGCTCCAACCATATGTCCTCGGAGGTTTTTAGACGCGGGACTAGGGAGACTTCTGCGCTACGGCTGACGAGAGGTTGAGTAGATCCTTCGCTCGGGTCTCCAGCTGTCAGCGTATTATCTTCGAGAAAGGCGGCATCGGGGACAAGTTGGGGTTGACGTAGATGAGGGGGTCCAAGCGGTTGGGCGTTGGACGGAAAAGTAGGACGGCTAAAAACAGTGTGACCGTCGATGACAGCTATGTGGGAGCCGTTTATGAGGATGTTCCATAGATCCATCACATCTCTGCCAACCAAGACAGTGGGGGCATGAGAGTTCGACTGTAAAGGAAGAATCCGAAGATCGGTGCTTACTGGGCGTGTAAGAGAGACGACGCCTCGGACCGATGGAAAAGTATAGACGCGAATAGAGCAAGACATAGTTCTTCGAATAGTGCAAAATGAGCCATCCGCCAGGATGACTTGCTTGGCCTGAGGTAATTCGTCGGTAGTAAACGGTTGATGATATCCTCGAGGGACGATGTAGTAGCTAAAACCGGCTCCTGAGTCGATGATGATGTTTGCCGGTATTGACACGTCGTCTTTTGAAGTGAGTAGACCCGATAACCGAATCTCGGCAGGAGCTGTATCATCTGTAGATATCGACCGTAGTGAATCAACCTCAGTGCCGCTATTGAAGGAGCTTCCGGATCGATGGCAGCGGCTGGCCGCCGATCCTTCATCAGCTCGACCTAAAAACCCGCTGACGCATCCACCAGCGGAGCGGGAGTTCGCTCTGATGATGACGTTGACGGTGGTGTTGCAGCAAACTCGCGCCAGCGGTAGTTCTCCTTGTCGAGCTCGGACATAATGGATTTGGCCGTAGTTGCATCGTTGTAGGCAGCGAGGATGTAGCGGAATCCGCGACGATTTCGAAGGACCTTGGTCTCGTCCGCTCGCAGGATCTTGAGAGCTTCTTCTTGGTTACGCACCGCTCGGCCGGTGATGTAGTAGACGGCGGGAAATGTTTTGGCCCATTCGCTCAGTGTAGGTCGTGAGATTGGTGCAGAGCCCGAGTTAGGCCGTTGGGCGAGAGTCCGAGAAGAGGATGCTTGGGCCGGTTCCACGACAGATCGGATGTTGTCGGCCTTATGAGTCGTCGGCTGGCATATGATTGTGGCTTCGTCCGACGTACGACATATGGATCTTATGACGTCGCAGACGGAAGGTTTGTCACCGGTTGCGTTCTCGAAGTCGAGGAGAGTCTCCCAGTCCTCACTGTCGTCGTCGTGGTCGGCATATCGTCGTATACGGTGGATGACTTTTTCCACGATAGCTGGGGGCAATCGGCCAATGATTTGCCTGGTAAGGTTTCTTCTCTCAGCTGAGTCGTTGTGGTATATGTCGCAGAAGATAAAGTACGCTTCGGACGCGGCGAGGAGATACTGGTCGATCTGACGGGCCGATTGGAACTTGAGGGAGCTCAACTTCTCGAGATACTTCGACTTCAATTGGGATCTTCGACAGAACCGTCCTAACAGAAGTTGGCGAACGTGGTTCCAGTCGGAACGTCCTGTTCGAGCAGCCGATTGAGCTGCTTGGTGCACTGGCTTCACTTCAGAGTTCGTGAGGGTACCGATAAACTTCGTCATTACCGACCGGCGGACCTCGGGGTTCACTTGGATGGGGCCCGAAGTGCTCCTCGTTGCCGCACCAGCTTCTACGAGGGTGTCCTCCACGTCGTCATAGTGTACCTTGAGGTAAGCTGAGTCGATGAGGTTTGGCAGGACGAGCTTGGTCACTTCAGCGGCGGTACATCTCGTAGCTGCCCTGCGGGTTGGAGCTTCTGGGAAATCAGGCTGGCGAAAAGAGGAGGTGTTTGCCGCCGATCCGTCGTTCCGTCTCAAGAGATTACTGGAGTCTCCCTGGACGTTGAATCCGGTTGACCCTGCTGGCGTAAGCAGTGGTGTCGTTGGTGGGCTCGTCGATGTCGCTTCTTCATAGGCTCGTTCTGCCGCTGTTGCTTGTTGATCGGCTTCGACGTATGCTCGAGCGAGTTCCTCTTCTTGAGCTTCCAAGACCGCCAGGACATTCTCGTCGTCTTCGTCGTTGGTACAGAGATTCTTGATCCTTTCTCGGACATCAGATAGTCGTGTGAATGCTCGTGTACGGCTCTGGCGGGCTCGGGTTCGGGCTTGACGGAGAGTTTGTAGTTCATCAGGTGTCGCCATATGACTAACCCAAGTCGTAGCGTAAGTTAGCCAATGTAAGGTATATAAAGAGCAATGGGAGACGGGGTTGGATTGAGAGGCGTCGCGTCTCCGCGTCACGTCTCACGTCACGTCACGTCTCACGTCACGGGCGTGCGCTACCGTATTCGACGTGCGCGTGTGGATCGCGAGTAGCGACAGTACCTGTCACGAAGCACGTGGGTACTGACCATCCGTTCAGGCCTGCATACCGACTCATCAGTGGGAGGCGCAAGGCCTAGAGTCCATTTCTCGCGTCCCGTGGGGATCAACAACGAGTGGGCTCGAATTTACGAAGAGGCAACGTTGATACCTTCCCTCAGGTATTTCCTCTGCGCTGTCCACAATCATGGTAAAGCATGTGTAGCAGCTATCTCTGTCGGGGGACGACACCATAATGAACGCCCCGTCATTGCCAAAGGGTGATACTGACCGGCCCAGTCTGAATATAGCCATAGCATGAGGGCTGCTCCAGGAAGCATCTTGACCGACTGTTTTTTGCCATCGGGCTTCCCCCTAGGGAATTCCTCCATGCATGTGTTGGCAGTTACCGCGGTCAGGTCACTCACGGATTCAATTTCAACCCACTCAGTTGCCCTTGCCGTCCTTGCCATTGGATCAGTAGCTGGAATGCTCATTTGTGGATACAGGTCAGCTCCTTGTCGCTGAGCTCATTCGAGTGTACTGTACTTCCCAGACGCTTCTCACGTTGGAGAGCACGCCGGCGTCATCAGGCCCCCGATGAGTTTGGTCTAGATATGACAATGGACGACTATAAGGATTCACGCGAGCCTTTCCATGGTGAAGTAAGTTCCAGGTGCCGTATTGGTTCTGGTTCATCACAACCTCATTGAAGTTTCAACCAGAAATACCACTCAGTTGATGCAGAATATTGGAATTTGAACGTTGAAAAATACGTCCTTTTTCATGTGTGTGTGAATTCAAAGTCCAACGCCGACAACACGATCCAGTTGGACTAGCATCCATTGTACATCAGTAAACAGTGCTTTAAGCCTCTTGCATTAGCCACTTTCCCTCCGTTAGCGCCTCTGAAATTTTTCCTCTCAGACTGCCGCGCGCCACCGAGGTCCACATGAGGACCTGATAAGCTTTTGAACATGCTACTGGTCGCATCGTGGATCATGCTTTAGTCGAGGTTTCGTCAAACACTCAATTGTTGAGTGCTTTCTGAGCAGTACGGGCTTGTATGCTCTTTCATAGGGGAGTAGTTTTGAAGGGCGACTCGTTAGGAATCACTCGATTACACATAAAGAATGTGTGTTATATCCTCAACACCCCAAGTGTGCAACGTTAGACCCAACTTTATCCACCAGCAACTTTATCTCTCAATCGAGTGAAGCGAATACTCCGAATATGGCTGTTCAGGGTTGGTCTCCCATGGGAACACATGTGGTGACACCAGTCGAAGTAACTTGATGAACTCAACAACATCTACTCTCCTCACACGAAACCATACAAATAGTACAAATAGCTAACATTGTATGACACATTACAAGAATAGGCAAATCATTAGGAACAGTAAAGCCAGAGCAGAACAGTCAACCATCATCACTATCGTCACAAAGATCAACAACTTCCTCATTGTTCTCCTCGTGACCCCTACAGGAGCGCTTCCATCTTCACCAGATAGAAGCTGGTCTTACCCGTCCACCGTTTCCCTCCCACCCAAGTACTCCTTGTCAAGCCTAGCTCGTTTGAGAGGTACATCAGTATCACAACTCTACAATGATGAAGTAGGTACGGTATGTAAGAATGCCTAGTGCTCACTTTGTCATAATGACCATCTACAGTGGAGGACTTCGTCGAGGCTGTCGAGTATGAACAACATCCATCAGGATCACGACCGTCCTGAAACATCCAGCAATAAGGTCGATTTCAGAATGCCCGGCTTACCGTGGTGTTGTCGTGATTGGGTGGGTTAAGACTCCATTCTGCCGTAGACTTGGTGACGAACACCTACTACCCTCATACTTTCCCACAGTGTATTAGTAGTGTCCTCACCTCCTCAGCTTGGGTCCCTTTCGTTGCACGCAGTATTGCCAGGATGAAACCATCGATAAGGATCTTATCAGGACGTAATACGGCATCACACACGGCACATTTCCAACGATTGTTGAAGGCTGCCATCATCTTCTGGGCTTGAATGAACCACTCCAGATCAAAACACTGATACAAATCTCTGTCGTCATAGCATCCCGAATCGCGTTACTCACTTGTATGTGAGTGCAGTCTCGGCCTCTGGCCGGGTACTCCATCCTGGCGTACGACAATGGACATGTCAAACGGAGAGCCCTGAACATACTCCAATAGAAGCAGTTCTCGGGAGGCAGACTACTACCGCGTTTCCCCATCAACTTCATCAGAGCTACCACTGATTTGGAGGTCATCCTCCTCGTACTCCTTCCTCGACAATATACTCCTTATTCGAGATGAAGACACTCTTACGTCCTCTACGGGGACCTACCAAACGAACCCTCCCACAGTGTATCGGTCGCTATAGCTACCCCTTTGAGAATAGCAGAAGGCTCCTGGGGCATGCACTTCACGATGGCCAGTACGTAATGCAACTCAGCAGCTGAGGGTAGTTTCGGGTCAAACTGGATCGTTACCTGTGATAGAGTTCAGCGGCTTTGATCATCCACCACTGAGGGCCTCACCTTGAAGGGAACTGCCGTCTGATGCGGCGGTATGCAATCTGTAATGTCTAGGGGGCAATCTCGGCGTTTGCGGAGGTGCTCGGGAGGAAGGACCTACACGGAAGGTCAACTACATATGTTGGTGACATACTATAGTTCCTAGAAAATTTCTCCCTTGTTTTTGTATACTACTACTACTCGAATTTTCATATAAATTCCTAATATTAGTGAGGAAACTTCGCTGGGAAAAGCGAACATATACTCCTCCACCACTGTTCCTGCGCGCTCCAGTGACCTCAGTGCTAGCCATAGACTACCTTTATTCCGGCACCGTCAGCGAACTCGAGTAAGAAACTATGCGGCCACACGTGCTGGAGGGACACTTTGGTGCGGATGAAGCTGACCAAAAACTATCTGCCGTTCATTGCTGGTCGTTTGCCAGGCCTCCTCACGTATTAGCATCAGAGGGCGTGAGCATTCGAGAGGGGATAGCCATCATTCTGGCCCATATGCGAGCACCAGGAACCGAACACAGGCTACTATCGGGCATAGACAAGTACGTTTCGTAGCTCCCCTGCTCGGCTATACGCCAGAGCCCAACAATACCATCATTGGGAGGAACCTGAGATGAAGGCTGCTGCTGCTGAGGGGTACGGAGGGTCGTACTACATTATCAACAACGAGGGGCCAGAAGGGATCCATTCGGGCGAAGGCAGCTTCTACGACAGAGTCCCGGAAAGCGGTCATTCCCGAGGGCATCTCGGCATTAGGACGGGGACTCTCTGATGAAGTGTAGGAGAATATGCATATAGTCAACTACATGTGTTGGTGATGAAATGGAAAATGAGGAAATTTTGGGAAATTTTAGAAATTGCTTTCTGTACATTTCTATCCAAATTCGTATGTAAACTTGTATAACTAGTGAGGAAACTCCTGAGCTCAGCAGCTGAGGAAAGCGATTACATATATAGTCATCCAACACTGCTGTGACCGGATGGAAACAAGTCCCTCACCGAGACCAGCATCATCTCCTCCTACCTCTCTTCTTTGGATGCCCGTTGCCGCCTGATGTCCCGTGAGGAGGAATTTTCTTACCAGTGGGAAGGACGAGCGGTGGCCAGACTAGAGCCGCTGATAGCAACGCATTTAGGAGCATTCGTGAAGTGTCGATTCTACCTGTGAGTAGATCGGGATTCTCCTCAACGGCTTCACGAATCCGCTCGATCAGTTCAGCCTTCCGCCCTGATACTTTCAAATTCATGTGTCTGACAACGTTAACCTCAACAACGGAATACTTCTTGTGGGAAGTACACCACCTGCAGTAGTCTTTCAATACATTAACGGTAAATGAAGGAAGAGCTTGTAGCGTTGTGGCAATCTCCCCGACGGAGGCAGGCCCCATTGATAGGGGTCTTCAGAGGCAATATAAAAGCAATCAATTCTAAAGAGACTAATCGTGCAGATGACGTTCCCCGTCCGTTTCACCAATGCAGCTGATACTGATCCCAGGTATGAAGTTCGATTCTCATGGGGTCACTCATGGAAGCACTAGAGCATGGGGATAAAATACTACTGAAATTTAGTGCATGCCTTGATGACTAATATCCATATTATTATGAGCTTCTTTGCTTGATGATCGCGGAGGAGGAATGTGTGGTGACCCCACCAAGTCTTGAAAGCGATCGTAACGACAACTCAAATCGTTCGCTCTATTCATGACGATATGTTGTTGGAGAGTCAAATGATTCGGCATCATTCCCCACTGGGGAAGTTTCCTCAGTGTTCTCTCATTTAGTGCCCGAGCCCACCATATAGTGGAGTGGCGCTGCTCATGAATGGGCCCGAATCGGATGATGCCAGAGCACCCTGGACTATCATCCCCCCGGCAATATCCGATCATGTGGGCTTACTATAGGAGGACAAGGTTGAATACGAACTGCCTCGCAAAATGCATTTTTCCATCTCTTTAATAGCAACAACTACATATACGCCAACCAAGATTCGAACCTGGTTTGTCATGGGAACATTCGTACACACTAACCATTACACTATATACCACATCAAGACACTTTCGTTCGTCGAAGACTCGCCCGCCTAAAGAACCGTTTCGCGGTGCAAATTGGGACATTCGGGTTTCTAAGCTGATGCAGTTGCTGTATGTGGGCTGACTGGACATCTTGACATAGACGGCAGTGCGAATGAGGTGAATGCTGAGGACCAAGCAGCTGTTGCTGCCTTGGCAGCCGCCGCGGCCACGGAAAGCTATTCGCTATTAGGCAGAGACGCTTCACGGAGTCATCAAGCTGTTGCTGCTCTCTGTAGTGTCGATCCTGGAGGAACCGACAAAAGCTTACACACCCTCCAGTCGCACAACTTTTGCCCGAGGATGTTATGCTTATTTGTATAGAGTCTATACTAGTATATAATATAGTAATATAGCTTATAGTATATAATAGTATATAGCGCCACGAAGGCATACCAAAGAGCTGGTGATCGATAAATACACATGCTCGGCCCCCCAAGGCGGACCATCGTTGCAGCGGGTGGTGACTATCAGCGATGGGGTTGACGAGCCCTCCTGCTGATCGAGGCAATCGCCCGATCAATGAAAGCATCCTCATCTGCTCTGGCATGGGACGCATAGTTAGCCTTATAGCAGGTGATGAGCTCATGAGTGCATACGTTGGTGTTATCATAATCAGTGGCGAATCCTGCCACCCAGTAGGTCCTGTTAGGGAGACCACTACAGAAGCTAAGGACGACTTGGCTCATGCAGCATGAGTCATGCTAGTGGAGGCATCTTGGCCGCTTCAAGTGGTGCCATACCGCACCTTACTTATAGCATGTTAGATTTCGGTGGAGCCCAAGTGGTGGATATCGTCGTGCCTTCAACAGGAAAGGAGCATCAAGATGGCCACCGTGGTAAGGGGTCAGATGACGCGGTCCCTTCTGGTCTCGATTCGAGATGGGCTTAAAGTTCATAAGGAAACGTGCTACCGTCATCGTATCGTTATAAAAGTTATAGAATCTGCTAGAGTTGTGTTGGAGTCTGAGAAGTGGCGATGGAGTGGTATGCGGCAGTTGACTCGCATTAAAGCATGGCTTCTTCCTCACTTCCTGGTAACTTCATCGTCTCTAAAGGAAAGGGAGGTGATGAGTATACTGTACAGGTAGCCATCCATCTTTCCCTTTCAGATCTCCCTATGGTCACCCTCCGTCACCCCAAGTACCCCAAGGCATCATGTGACGTCTACGTCTACGGTGCTCACGTGGCTAGATGGACCGACCGAGAAGGTGATGAGATCAGTAGCTGCTGTTCTATCACTTAGGCGAAGTACTTCAGGCAACTCCAACCTGTATATGTCCCCTATCGCTGACTATGGCAACGGTAAAGCCATGAGAGGCGGAGTCCCCGTAAGTAGTGGTATTGGGCCGATGTGTGTTGGTTATTACGGATTTGCAAGATTTTGGACAATTTAGCAGAAAAGTTGGTAAAAAAATCGGAATTTTCCCGATAAAACTCGGCCGATATCGATTACGCTCTAGTGGAGGTAGTAATACTCAGCGTTACCACAATTTCCCACAGGTCTGTTGGCCGCAATTCGCTGGTAACGGTCCCTTCCAGAAGCACGGCTTCGCGAGGAACACTGAGTGGGAGCTCGACAGCTACAGCAGCGAGGAGGATCCGTGCGTAATAAATTATTATCATTATGAATTGTGTTAATCACGCGTTGGAGTTTCACCCTAGTGATATGAAAAACACTAGTTTAAAACATATTTTACGACTACAGCATATCACCGCGAATATCGCGCTTTTCACAGTATAGCACCACTTCACGTAAATCGGGTGAACCCCCATTATATTTATACTGAAATATTAGTATATTATTACTAGTAATAATACCATAACTTTCCAAAACCGTGTGGATGCTGAGCTCTGTACAGGTTACATTCAAGCTGGTTTCGAACGAATTTACTAAGGAAACGATGGGATGCCCATTTGAATTCGAGTTGCGGTATACTGTAACTCTAGGTGGGGACTATTTGGGGATGCATATGGAAGTGGTGAATACTGGTGCGGAGGCTATGCAGTTCACAACAGCTCTTCATACGTAATAGTCCATGAACGGCTTTATGGAGAGGACGAGGAAGAGGGTTTAGGTACTTCTCGGTCGGAGATATTGCTACGACAACAGTAGCTGGAGTTGGTGAGCATCATTACAACGATACGGCTCAGGGAGGCAAGGACTGTAAGAAAGGCAATTCATATAGTGGAGTTTCATTCGATTTACATGAAGTGGTGTAATACTCTGTGAAAAACGCGATATTCGTGCTATGCGGTGCTATGGGTGAAATATGTTTTTCACTAGTGTTGTGAAACTCCAGTGACTATTGAAGGGTTTGGTTTTCCTGTGCAGGTTATGATGGGAATTCGGTGGTTGAGTTTAATGAGGGTATTGTGGATAGAGTGTATAAGCAAGCAGCTGGCCCCGCTCATATACTTTGTGACGGTTCTAAGATGTGAGCAGTCTTCATTGACTTGTGATGATTTAACGCTTTTTCTATCAGATTGATGGTTGAGAAGAGCCCGTCGTTCCCGGACACTGTTGTGTGGAATATTGGCAGCGACTCGTTGGGCGATATGCCCGCGGGGGACTTCAAGAGGTAGGTTTACTCAGGGGCTAGTAGTATCATACTCATTCGAGGGTACTCCTCATCGTGATGTGTGCGCAATGTGGTATTGAAAGTTTATTTTGTTGAGAATTGTTGAAAACATTGAGCTCCTCGTGTAGTAGGCAAAGATTCAGGAGTTGGAGAAATGATGGTATGATTATGCCTCTCGCTGTTCTCGAGTGTATAACTGAACTTGATTGATAGATACTATTTGCGTCGAGTCTGCAGCCGCAGTAGAGCCGGTGAAGGTAGCCCCTGGTGATTCATGG